TGAAATTTAACTCAAATAGAAAAATAGAATTTTTTTCTCTATTTCCAGAAAGACTTATAGATGATATCTGTTCTTAATTGCTTGAATTTTGACTTGATACCATTCAATTCGTTTTTTTGAAGATACCAAAATAAAAGTTTATGAAAAGATTTTTCAACGATCAGACTATTCAAAAATCCTCATTGCTCAATAACTCGTAGGAATTAAAAAAGAAATATTGCATTATGTTTTTTTGAAGTTTCAACAAAGATTTTATTTTTACACTTCGGCTAAGGTTCACATGTTTGAATAGTCATTTTGATATTTTTTCATATCGGTAAAAACTCATTATATTTACCTATCATTTGAAAAAAGCATAGTTTATCAAGCTAGATCAAATTGCAAATATATACGCAAAATTTAAGCGGAAGAGACTTTCGGGATACTCGGTAGTTTTACTCTTAACTCTTACATCTGGCCTTGACCGCATAATTTCATTCTTAATTCGTTAATTCTAATTGTAACCACTGAATTCTATTTGTAATCGCTTAATTCTACTTTTAATTCTTTATTTCTATCCTTACGCATTAGTTATATATCTTGCTTCTTTTTCTTTCTCTAATATATATTTCGATATTTAACTCGAATATCTATATCTAAACTCCAATGTTAAACTAATTTGAGCGTGGTAAACATCAAGTGAGATGAAAAGGAAGATATTTTTATAGTTTAAATTTGTCTACTGAAAAAACATTCTATCTAATGAAAAGAGTGAGCAAAATTTTAGCTTAATTTGCTGAAACAATCAACGTCCTAAAAGCGATAGCGAAGACATCATCGTAGAGATTTATGAAATTCAAATAGAGTTAGCTATCAGTCGTCAGAATCTCTGTTTCTGCTGGGACAATGTAGGCATCTCAAAATTTTAGTGAACAAATTCTATTGGCAATATAACCGATATTTTTCATATTGCTCTCAAATGTAGCTGCGTCTGGCAAAATATAAAATGTAAATCCACTAATGAAGTATGCGAACGTAATAGCAAGATGAATGGTAGAATGATAAAAATAGGGACGATTTAGATTAATCATGTTTTTGATCAGTGAACAGCGATCTCTATTATAGAAAGCCTGAAAGAAAATAATTTAATAGGAAACTTTCTGTCTATAATACTTTGGAGACATTCACTACGAACCTTTTTCTATTGTGAAATTTGGAAGAGCTTTCAGATGAGATATATAAGATTATGTGGCATTTAATGAGGTGTCCTGGATTTGAACGCTATTGCAGACGTATATTAACGCTTGACAAAGTTCAAAGAATCGGTTTGTCCTCTTTTATTTCCAATCCAATACAGGTCACTTGTGCTCGAACTACGTTTCTAAAAGAAGAAGAGCATAAAAAAATGGTGCAGTATAGAACCCTTTTAAATTACTAAAACCATTTTCTATCAACCACGGTTCTTTATGGAGAAAAGACGGTACGAGATAGAACTCTTATAAATGCCTAGAACCATTTAAAGCCAGTTATAGCTCTTTGATAAGAAAAATGGTGTGATGTAGAACTCTTCTGATTCTCTAGAACCATTTTATTTTAGTCGTGATATCTCACAGAAAAAAGTGGTTCAGCATAGAACTCTTTTTAAAACTCTAGAACCATTTTTTATCAGTCACGCTTCTTTATAAAGACAAAAGGTGTGAGACAGAACCATTTTAAATCTTTTGAACCATTTTTCATCGGTCATGGTTCTTTATGAAAAAAAATTGGTGCGAGATAGAACTTTTCTAAATATCGGGAACTATTTTTCATCTGTCATAGTTTTTTATTAAGAAAAATGGCGCAAGATAGAACCCTTCTCAACCTCTGGAACTATATTTTTATTTGCCATGGTTCTTAAAATCATCTAGAACCTTTTGATGGTTTACTAATAAACGAATGAAACCTTAAAAGGTTCTGAATCTTCGCTAAAACCTTTAACAGTTTCCTATCACACCAATTTTTTTAGAGAGTGTGTCTGTAACGAAGAGGTGGGAAGGGGGGAGCCGCAAAAACTTGAACTGAAAACTTACATTCACTATTTCCTTCGAAAATATATGTGAGTTCCACAAAATAGTGATCCTCTATCAGACCAATTACTGTAGACACAGACGGTACCTTGCTATATTTTCCAATGAACGTATACAGTCTCCGTGTTGTTGCTACGGTAGTCGTTTACGGCGACATTCTACGGTCATCGTTTACAATGGTCGTGATATGCCGTAAAGCATCATCTACGACTATTGTAAACGGCTACCGCGAACAGCTGACGTATACGATGTTTAACGGTGTTTTTCGACCAAAGTATAGAGTCGCCGTATTGTTATGCTAGTGGTTTACAGTGACCGTTTACGGGCACTAAAAATAGAAGCCTAATAATGTCTAGTCCGGTGATCACAGAGCTCGTGTGACAATTTTATGTTTCCAAACGATGATTGATGAACTGGAAAAGGCGAATCAATCTTAGAAGCTTCGTCGTCATCGGACTTGGCATTATTAGGTTTCTATTTTTAGTGACGCATCACAACAAATTCATAGAACCAATAGCACAACAGCTGTCCAATCTAAACGTCACAAAAAACGCAAAATATGGAAGTATCAAAACAGAAACACTGTGTAGTGTATTTTTTGAAATTGAAAAACGGCTGGTGTTCGTATTTCAGTCGAAAGTAATAATTTTGAAGTATTTGTGAAGTTTGTCCGTACCAATAAAAGCTTTACACTCATACCTATCATTTGAAAAAAAATAGTTGATCAAGTTTGAAAAATAGTAGAGTTATACGATTTTACTTTTCGACCGAACTTTTGGAACACCCTGTAGTTTATTAGTTAAAAACTAACACTTTTTGCATTATTTTAGAATCATATTGAATGGTGGAAATGGTAAATTGCATTTTAACAATTAAGAACTAACACTATATTTTACCTTCCTGCTCACCTGACATACGACTAGGTATTGGAATTCATCTTGCCGCTCGATGATTTTCGGGTCACATATTGCCTTCTGATTATTGTGAGCTCGAAAACCTCTTATCCGTTTTCGAGATCAGTATCCGAGGAACTAGTATAAGTGTTTTTTCTGGGCTTCCGAGACTTCAGAAACCCTTGTTTGAAAATCCATACAGGGTTTCAGATAGTAAAAAAAACCGGGAATCCTGCCAGAGTGTTCGATGAAACGAACTTTTCCAGAAAGTACCTATTCACATCCATATTTACGCCCACACCTCACATTCACACTCACACCCACACTCATACACATATTCACACCTTCATGCCCACATTCACATCTTCACACCCACATCCATACATACACCCGCATCCACACCCACCCACACCCACCCACCCAAACCCACCCACACCCACCCACACCCACCCACACCCACCCACACCCACCCACACCCACACCCACCCACACCCACCCACACCCACCCACACCCACCCACATCCACCCACAC